ACCAAAAAATCAGAAATTACTATCTCAATACCACAGAATTCCACTTTAATTTATCAAGCTGTATTTGGGTCTAAAAAATATGAAATTTCGAGCAGACTAAAGACTCAACTTGAAGACTTGGATCGAAAGAAAGAGTTGACGTCATAATACTTGAAAATGGCTGAAAAAGCCACTAGGGGGACATTTTGAACTTTTGATTGGTTATTCACATGTCATAGATAGAAGTAATTGTATATGAGGAAGTGTTTCCAAAAATGGAAGGAGGTGGGCGGGGCTATTGTGTTTGGGTCAGTACATGAGTGATATCTCAGCAAATAGAAAAAATAGAAGGTTCTATTTTATATTCTAGTTTATCAACATCGGTAATTTGTGTTTCTAATTCATAAGAAACTATAGACTTTGTATTTGGACATCACAAACATCTAATTTGAAAGAGTGCTGCATTCAACATACCACGCAACACACAAAAATCAATGTTTAGGTGTGTTTTTTTTATTTACTTTTAAATGAAGAAATTAAATAATGCATAATACTAAAATTTGAATTATAATCTAGAATTTGATACCAAACTTATTGACATAAATTCATAAAATAGTAGTTCAAGAAAATTTTAAATGCGAGTCAACAAACTCAATGACATGGCCTTTGGCCCATGTGGAGATGGTGAATTAACAGTTTGGCTCTTATTATACAACATGGTTCAAAACTAGAATCGTTTCACCTCAAAATATTTCTTACACATCCTCTACCAATCCTAGACACACTTCTGCAAGGATCCCAAAAATGTTCTGTTTCAAGAGCAAATAAAACCAAATTAAGAGTATCAAATATTTTTATTTCTTGCTTTTGAAGTTCATGTGTCATGCAGTGTTGTAGCCAACAGAGTGCATAGTTCTCATGATTCATGGCATGCATATGCAGTGATGACAGGATGCCCATGGTGAGAGCAAATCTACTGAAAATACACCATGGATAAAGTTCAGGCCTAGGCAAGATAGTCTATCCACCATCAGAACCTGAGCTTTTGAGACGTGATAGATCAAAAGTCAAACATGGGAGCTATAGGCCCAATAAAAGAGTAAAGAGCTAGGAAAACAGAAGTCCTGGGAGTAAATGCCTCCCTGTCATTGAAGGAAGAAAAAGAGGTGTCAGAGATGTCTGATTGAATCATGATAAGACCAGACAAAAGATGATGGCAAGCCTGTGAACAGGCACCAGCTCAAGGATGTAGACAGTGAAACCTTGCACCTGAAGACCATATATTGGAAATGGGTCAGGCATCTGGAACTTCATCCCATTGGAACAAAGGAAGTGGAAAGGTGTGGTTCTAGGATTGGTTGGTGTTGAGCACAAAGACAACACAAAGTACCACCTGTACCATGCTCATCACAGATATGAAAGCAAGAGCCCAGTGACTAACTTTCAAGCCATGAAGGATTCCAAGCACATGCAAGTCTGGGTAAGGTGGGGGAAGAGGGACATCCAGAGTCATGTCAAATTGAGTGAGCCATAACAACCATGAGAGGTTGAAAAGAAGATAGTGTATACTTGTAGATCCATGCATTGACATATCAGAAACTATTGAAAGGGACATGTATGAGCACATCCAAAAGGAATGCGTGAATTAAGAGGAGAAATATTTTGCCAGAAGCAAAAGAGAGAAAATCCATGGTATCA